GAGCGGGCAACGCTCATGGTCTTGCCTGCTGGTGCCCAGTTGTACGTGGAGATCTGCTACGGACCCCTAGGCTGGCTGGGGTAAATATTTGAGGTCACAAGTACTGAATTTCGGCAGGAGAGCACCAAGTACCAACTCCACCCAAGAGCTTTGCAGCTAAAACACAGCTCTCCTCCCACCCAGCACTTGCACCAGCCTCCCGTGCTCAAAACACGGGCAAAAGCTACTGGGGTGGGGTGCATCTCCCGCAGGCAGCTTGGAGGGGACCACAGCTCCCCCCACCCTCTCCCTGCCCCGCGCCGGACCCTCAGCGCCTCCGTCTGCCACCGTTTCTCGGGGCCCTCAAACTTCCCGATGACATCGCACAGGGCGTACTGCCCGGCACTGAGCTGGCTCAGCCCGTAGCGCTCCAGGGCCTCCTTCACCAGCTCCTGTGCGCCCGAGCTGCCCGTCGCCAGCACGCTCTTGTAGTTGGTGCCCGCGCAGATGTTGCCACCGAAGATCTTCAAGACGCCAGGGGCTGAGAGCTGGGTGGAAAGTTCAGCCGGGTCATCCTCCCCGGCTGCCGGAGAAGCGGAGGTTGAGCTCCGGTCCTTGTAGCTCAGTGTGCGGTACAAGACTTGGGAGAAAATCCGGCTCTGGCGCTTCAGCCGGTTCTTGGATGGTGGAGCCATGGTGGAGGAGGACCCATAAAACATGGTGCGTGAGGATGTCATGCGGCACAGCTGGGTGGGGAAGAGGAAAAAGGGAAAGATGAGTGGTTCGGAGGCCAGATGTGCAGCAGGGAAGAGCGAGCAGGAACCGGCTGGTGGCTGCAGAGGAGCCACTGTCACCTCCAAGGTGGAAAGCGACAGCAGTGAGACAGGGCCATTTCCCTCGTGCAAGCCAAGACACCAGCGAGCAGGCTCAGCTGGGCTCCTTGGCATCAGCACGGTTACCCCAGGACGGATTTGTCCCTGAAAACACAGCCTGAAGCGATCCCAAATTTCTCCATCATGCACATGAAGAGGTCCCTCTTGCCCAAGCAAAATGCAGCGGGAGGAGAGCAGAGCCCAGCAGGACTTGGCGGGGCCCATCCTGGTCAGGAGCCAAGGCGTCAGCAGTCACTTTCACTAACAAGTTTACGGAGCAATCTCGCTTTTCAGAGGTGAAACAGAAAGCTCAAGTGCAAATTCAATCACTCCGAGGTTGCTGCTAAACGCTTTTGCTCAAGGAGAGGCACAGGGTGAAAAGGGGCTTTAATTAGCCTTTTTAAAAATGTCCTGACTCGGGCGAATCTGTCAGCTGCTGCTAGTTTGTGGAGGATGTTAAAGCACGTGGTGGCATCGCTGACAACGCTGCCCTGGTCACATTACCCAGGGCAGGGCTGCTTGGGGTGGCCCCGGATGGGGAGCGACCACAGGAGGGGTGGCCATGGCCATGCGACAGCTCCTGGTGCACATGGGTCACCAGGAACAGGCTGGAAACCGCGATGCTCTCGTGGCTTTGGGCAGATTTGGTCCTGCCCGATGTCACCGCCGACATCTGGGGCCGGCTTTGAAGTCGCATCCTGGACGCGCAAACACCCGGCGCTTGCACGGCGCTGATAACGCCAGCGGCTGCCCCACGACCTGCTGGTCGGAAAGAGAACCTGAGCGTTTCTGATTCGGACAGGATGAATTTCTCCCTCACCTCCGGATTTACAGCGTGCAGCCTGCGTGCAGGGAGCAGGCACGGGCAGGGACTCGCACACAAGGGGCCCCCCGAAATGCCCCATCCGCAGCTATCGGAGCGCTTTGATGCCGCACTCGGCACGATCCAGCTGCGCACGGCCCGGGAGATGCGGGGGGCCGGCGGCTTTCTGCATCTGCAGCCCCATCTCGCTCCTCTGGAGCAAACCCAGCGCTATCAGGCAGCATGATGTCGGCCCTGGAAAGCCTCCAAACCACCATCTAATTCGGGAAGAAAAAGCGTCCCTGCTGCTAATGGAAGAGGTCACCTTCTAACCCAGAAACCACCTCCCTGCCGCACACGGAGGATTTCTGCGGGGTGTACATCTCCCACCCCAGGACTAGAGGCCCCCAGAACACTGCAGATGGGGAAACTGAGGCACCAGCAAGTGCTAAGGCTGCAAGACGTGCCTGGGAGCTGGGCAATCCTGCTGCACCCCAAGTCACCCCTTTTACCCCCAGTCCCACCAGGACTATGACAACACTGGGGTCTGTCCTTCTTCCCAAGCCACTGGCTGCGACAGCGAGGACATGGCAGCAGGCTGGGGGGAGGCATGGAGGGGAGATGCCACCACCGCCCTGGCACGTTGCTGCTGCCTGGCTCACTGAGACTGGACTTAGAATTATAAAATCACAGAATCACAGAATGGTAGGGGGTGGAAGGGACTTCTGTGGGGAAGCCAGTCCAACCGCCTG